ATAGATTAGGTAGGTAGATAGATAGGATAGATAAGATCGATAAGCGAGATACCAAGCTAGCTAGCTAGCTAGTTAGGTAAATCGATAGATAGATAGATAGATAGATAGGATAGGATAGATAGGATAGGATAGATAGGATAGATAAGAGAGATAGATATATAAATAGACAGGTAGATGGACACTGAGACAAAAGAGTCAAAGACAATTAGATAGTCAAATAGGTAGATAGGCGCACAGGTTAGACTAGATTTAGACTTAGATACAATAGTGTGGATTAGATTAATAAGGGGTTATGCATGTGCATGTATGTACAGCTAGATCCATATTCTCGACCTACACATCCGTGTGTGTGTGTGTCACCCGAGGTTGAAGCTCCAAGACTAATGTAGGGGCCTTCATAATTAGAATAGGGTTTTGGGTCTATCATACTATAACGACAATAAGGAACCCTAAGAATAGTATTGGTAACTATTTAAGCACCCAAAAACCCCGGCCCGAAACCCCATGCTGAAACGACGAGGCGCACAGCGCTGGCGAGGAGTTCGGGACGCAGGGCACCGTCGGAAGTGCCTTGCCGAAGCATTGGCTGAAGGGCCACTGAACTAAAGTGTTTCGTAGGGATCAAAAGCCGGACCGTAGGGAAGGGACTGGATCTGGGCCGTTGCGTGGCATGGGCTTTTCAGCCGTTTCTCAGAGCTGCAGCTTTCTAGCCTCGACAACAACTGTTCAACAAACAAACGAAGAGATATTGATGTGCAGTTATTCGGCTGTTGAAGCATTTAGGCCGGCACACTTCACCGACATGATGGAAACGAAGCCCGAAACCACCCCGAATTCCAAAACGCGAAATGTGTGCCCCTCCTCCGTTCTTCTCGGCCCCAGCGGTACGGGCGACCACTGCGCCGCTGTTCCGCTGCTTCTTCTTTTTCGCCATGGCCCACCAAGGTTTGGGCTCTGGGGATGTTTTATGGCCTGTAAGGTGCCATGAGGCTTTCGGGCCGAAGAGGCTGAAGTCTGAACTCCTCAAGGATAAGACACTAGACATCTAGGAGCTGCTACCAGTAGTAGCCTGGTATAGAATATGTGTATATATATACACACATACTATCTTGTCCTGTATACTACAAACTGAATATGCCTTTCTGATACTTCATACAAACTATATAATTATATAAATACATATATATATATATATATATGTAGTCGACCAAGCTTCCCAGTACATGTTATGAGTGATTCCTACCTCATTCCTTGAACTCAAGTGCATTGCAGGACTGCTGGATCACGTTGGCGAGCGGTAGGTTCAGCTGCCCAGTAGTGTTCGGTTGTGGGCTTTAGGGTTTAGACAGGTGTAGATTGCTTTTCTTGAGGGCATGATACAATCTCCAGGAAACTCTAAGCCAGCCGAACCTTTCCCAAAGCTGCTGCAATCTAAACTGGGGAATCGGGCGCGACCAAATCCTCCACCCTGCAGTGAAGTCTTTGCTCCTCGGCCTGCAAAATCTGGCTCTACATGTCCGACACTGTTGTACGGCTGGGGACCCTGGCCGGGAAAACTGTGTCCATTAAGGCAGATGGGCCAACCAACACCAGCAAAGAGGAGAGGTCTCCGGCGCAGGCAGTCGATAAGGGAAACGCGGGCGAAATGCAATGCACGGTTATGATAATCACGGCAGGCATGCCAAATCAAGCAGCCCTGCTGACGAGTGCCTTCAGCCGCAATTGCGCCTCATCGCGCTGCTGGCGCATGGCTTCGAGCCTTCTGTCGCACAAGCAGCAGCAGCAGCAGCAGCAGCATCAGCAGCATCAGCAGCAGCAGCAGTAGCAGCAGTAGCAGCTGCAGCAGCACGTGGAGGAGGAGGAGCATGAGGAGGAAAGTGGTAGTAGTAGTAGTAGTAGTAGTAGCAGTCGTAGTCGTCGTAGTAGTAGTAGTAGTAGTAGTAGTAGTAGTCGTCGTCGTAGTAGTAGTAGTAGTACTCGTCGTCGTCGTCGTCGTAGTTAGTACTTTCTGTTGCTGTTGTCGTGGTGGTAGCAGTGGCAGTAGCAGTAGCAGTAGCAGTAGCAGCAGCAGGAGCAGCAGCAGTAGCAGTAGCAGTAGCAGCAGCAGGAACAGCAGCAGGAGCAGCAGCAGGAGCAGGAGCAGGAGCAGGAGCAGGAGC